ATGTTAGACGAGACAGTTGGTGCTAGTTGATATCAATGATGACCCCCAACACTTTTGGAATGGCAGCGTCTTAAACTACCTACAACTTTACGACGAAATCAACCTCTGCCAGGAAATTCCAACCGAAATATCAGGAATGCATGTTCTAAATGCGGCAGAGACTCTCATTTTGTGAGCAATTGTTTTTCAAGAACTAATTCTAATGGCGAAGGCTTAGAATCATCCGACTCTGAACCAGAATCTTCTTTATCGGATGCTTGCTTCCATTGTGGACGTGACACTCACTTTGCCAGAGATTGTTACGCAAGAACAGACATCAATGGCTTTTCTTTGTGATTGACTATTCAATATATTCTGATTATGAAATTCTTTTATTTAAAAAGATTCGTCTTCAACCATTTGCAGCACTTCTGGGTGTGAGATTTCGTAAACTACTCTTGATAGCTCGGCAAAGACAGAGTGCAGCTCATCAATCATTTCCAATCTGGCTTGGGCACGTTGTCTTGACTGATTCCATTGTTGATTAAGAGCATTTTTAGTTTGTTCATCATTTGATGCTCAAATGATTGTTTTTCAAAACGTTGCCTTTCTTCAAATTGGACACTTTGATTCATAGAATGAAATCCTGGCTTGTTGTTAGGATGATTGCTGGGTGAAAATCCTTTTTGAGCTCGCTGTTTCTGTCTGTCACAAATCAGTTGAACGTGTTGAGAGGCTTCTAGGCATTCAGTCTAAATATTGATATATTGAGATCCTATAGCTATGAGTTTTTGTAAAGTTTGTTTCTTTGGGGCTTCTGAGCACTTCCTCTTGAAATTCCATTTGTTTTTTCTTTCCTTGCCAAAAGCACCAGAGCAAACGGTTCAAAGAATATTTATATTGGAATGACTACAAGAAGCTCATATGTACGATGGGGTGAACACATCAGAAATGTTCAAAAAAGAAACAAATCGTCTTGAGTTGGGAAAAACACGCACTTTAAACGTATTGGAGCTGTATGGTCTCGCAATCCCCAGAAAGCTGAGAGAACAGTTAAAAGTATGAAGCCTTATCAAAAAAAGTGTTTGGACGGTTAGGTGCCAGAGGCTATAGTCGTCGTCGTTAAAATAAAGGGTTTCGTTTTTCTAGTAATCTTACAATTGTAATTTCCATTGTTTGCTATAAATGCCTGAACAGCTTATCACCTGGATTAGAAGAGTTGCTGCTCTAAATGATTCAGATTTGGAAGAATAGCTCAAATTAATCAACAAGAATTCACTCAATGTATTTGCAAGAGTAATCAGTCATATACACCATCCAGAATTAGATTCTCATACATACAGAAATGGAACGTATGAAGCACATCCACATGCAGATACAATCGATTTATTGGTTTCTATTGGAGTATACATTATCTGCCATCAATTCGGAAACACCAGTCAGTTCTCATATGGATGACAATACTAGAATCAAGGTATGAACCAGACGTATTACTATTTACAAGTCTGAATTACCTGGCAAGAATCGCACTCATGGTCCATTACCAAAATATTTGCAAACTGGACAATTCATTGGACAAGACCTGGTTGCCTTGAAAGGATGCTTTCCAAATCAAAAAGAATTCAATGACTACACTCTAAAAGCATTTAAATGGAACTATACGATGTGCCATTTATACATTGGATATCGTTGGTTTTTGAATGACTATCCTGTGTTTGTTTATTCTACTTTGCCTTGGACAACTATTCGCAGTGAATGTACTCGCTGTAGAAGATGGATAGACAGCGATGAAACAAAAAGTTTACCTACTTCAGATTTACGTCTTCATTCTCAAAAGGAACTTTATCACCATATCGGGAAAGTCAAAATGAAACTGAAACAAGCGAATTCCCTTTCAGCCTTCATTCCTTTGTGAAGATGACAGAGTTGAAGCTCAAGTAAAAGGTGAAATGGTTATTTTTACGAGTCTTGCCAATTTGAACATTTAAAAATAAAGCAAGTTTTGGAGTCGAAGCTCCTATTTACAATATATACAACCAAAACTTTTAATCTTGACATAATCTTACTATTGTCAATCAATTATACAAATCTTGATTGACTTGTTTAACTTTTTTGAATTCAGCCAATTTCTGATATTGTTTGTAATCATTGGAGCAATTGGTGTTATTACACCATTTCTAATGACCTGTTATCCAATGTACTGCTAACTGTTTAGAGTGACTCGTGTAATCAACAGAAATACCAGTTAAATCTTGTTTTAAATTAATCTGAAATAGAAATACTTTTGTATAATTTGGTTTGTCAAGATAAATATAACAATCAACATTCCTTCTTTTGAACAATCCTAAAACTTTTATTCTGTAAAAAACACTCAAGTTTCAACTGTCTTGAAGTCTTTCATTTGATATCAAGTCGGTTTTATTTCAAATTCAATTTAAATCAACTATTTGTTTGACAGGTTGAACGAAAGCAATTACACAGTGTGGCAGACTTTTTGTACTTTTGTAATCGCTCTTTTTCTTTTTTGAATTGTTAACAATAATTGCAATATCTCAGTCGTTCGGATTCCTTGTTTTGGGTCGTTCGAATTCTTAACAAAGAATACCAATAGTTTTCATTGAATTATCAACTTAATTTCAATTATTTCTTCATTATTTGTATTAAACAGTAAGAATGAGATTAACGTCACACTTTGACTTGATGATGAAAACACGCAATACGAAATATGCTTTTCTACAGTAACCACACGATTAATCCAATGCTTCAACGCAACTCATTTTGTCTGTTTGACATGCTCCAAGAAATGTCAACGAAAAGGATATTGTGCTCAGTTTAGAACCACACGATCGTTGCACAATAAGCTCCTTGAGAAAACCATTAAACAACAAATGATAGCAATTACGAGGTCGATACAACACACTTGACCAACAATACCACACAAACTGACATAACGTATTAGCTTCCTGATCAAAGTCTTTGGCAGATATACAACTATTTCGATAAAACAAGATGAATCAAATATGTTGAAACCAACCATTCCCATTGAAGTTATTGACTTGCTGTTTTATCCAAGAACTAATTCCGAAGAAAGAGAGCAGGATGGAATGA